GTGGCGAAGGTGGCGGAGACGGTGGCGGCGAGGGCGGCGGCGGCGAGGGCGGCGGCGGCGAGGGCGGCGGTGGAGACGGGGGCGGCGGAGACGGTGGCAGCGGCGACGGCGGCGGCGACGGCGGCGGGGGCGAGGGTGGCAGACTGGGCGGCGGAGAGGGCGGCGGCGGTGACGGCGGCGGCGGTGACGGCGGCGGCGGAGAGGGTGGTGGCGGAGACGGCGGTGGAGGAGCCGGCGGCGGCGGCGAGGGCGGCGGCGGCGACGGCGGCGGCGGAGAGGGTGGGGGCGGTGACGGCGAGGGCGGTGACGGCGGCGGCGGAGGCGGTGGCAGCGAGGGCGGTGGCGGCGAGGGCGGTGGGGCCGACGGCGGCGGCGGCGAGGGTGGCGGTGGAGACGGCGGGTCGGGCGGCGGATGGCGGGCTGGTGGCGGCGACGACGGCGGCGGGCTGGGCGGCGGCGACGGCGGCGGTGACGGCGGTGGGGGCGAGGGTGGCGGACTGGGCGGCGGAGACGGCGGCGGCGGTGACGGCGGCGGCGGTGAAGGCGGCGGTGGAGAGGTCATCGAGTTGAAGACGGCGGCGCGGCGACGATGTCGCCGACGCCCTCGTCCGACTCGGTCACGAGCGGGGCGAATCACCGTGAAGAACTCGGGCGCCGACGACCCGACCGCCATGAAGGGTGCGCCGGCGACGTCCTCGGGCACCTCTTGAGCACCTCGACCACCTCATCGATCGCCACGGCGTAGAAGTCGTCGCAGACGATGTGGCGATGCCGACGAAGAAGTAGAGCGGGCTCAAGATGCATGGACACGCGCGGCAGCTGGCTGGCAGAGGAGGGGGCGGTAGGACGCTTGGCACACTGCGCCTCCACCGCCTCCAGCTTCTCTGGCGTCGCGTCTCCGCGCCACAAGCTCGCGCGGGCCGCCCGCTCCTCCGAGAGTAGCCGCTGCGACACCGCCAAGTTGCGCTCGACGAGGTTCACGTCGGAGAGCTTGCGCTGCGTCGCCTTGCGCCGCGCACTGGGCTCGGTGACGCGCCGCGTGCTCGCTTGCAGCTGCTCGAGCAGCCCCGAGACGCGCATCGAGCGCAGCGTGTCGCGCTGGTCCTCCAGCTGCGCGAAGAGGCCGTGCAGCCGCGCCGCCTCCTCACACGCGTCGTCCCGCTGCGCCTCGGCGACCTTGGCGCGCCGCTCGGCCTCCGAGGCGATGGAGCCAAAGTGCGCCGCGGCCTCCTTCTCCTGGCTGCGGCACCGCAGCTCCGCCGCAGTCTCGGCCTCGCGCGCCGCCGCCTTGAGCTGCCGCACCTCCGTGCAGAGCCGCCCAGTCTCCTGCCGCTCCGCCTGCAGCTCTGTGTCGAGCTCCGCGTACGCCGCGGCGGAGCGCCGCCGCTCGTCGGCGAGCGCGGCGTCGACGGCGGCCTGCTGGCGGCGCGCCGCCAGCTCGAGCTCGACACGCCGCTCGTCGGCGAGCGCCTCGCCCAGCTGCCGCCGCCGCCGCTCATAGTTGAGGAGCAGCGACACCTGCCGGAGCTGCGACGTGCCGCGCCCACGCGGCGGAGGCGCGCCGCGCACCTCGGCGGCGATCAAGCCGAGGACGTCGCGGCAGCCCTCCAAGAGGTGGACGGCGCTGTCGAGCAAACCCTCGGCAAACGCGCGCAGCTGCGCCGTCACGTCGAGCTCGACATCGAGCGAGGACGCGCCGCCGCCGCCGTCGCCGCCGCCGCCGCCCGCATCGGCCGCGTCCGAAAGGATGTGGAGAGGAACGTGCGCCTGCCGCACGAGTTGGTCGAGGTCGCGATCGGCCTCCGCCGTCCCCTTCCCGCGGGAAACGGCCGACGAGCGCCGCTTAAGCGCGCGCTCCACGTCCGCCTTGTACGCGATCATCCGGCGCTTGTACTTCACGAAGTTCGCCTTGGTCTCCGGCGTGGCCAGCGCCGGGAGCGCCCGCGTCGGCGCGAGCGACTCGTGCCCGGCCATCGCCTCGACCCACCTTGCAAAGATGAGACCCGCATCGCCGGCGCCGACCCCGCCGCTGGCATATTTGCCGGCCAGGCCGACGAGGGCGTAGGCGTCGATGAGGAGCAGGCCGCCCACGGGCCTCGCCAGGGCCGCGGCGGGCCCTGGCGACCCCTCGAGGGACGCCAGGGTGGACAGGGCCTCTGCCCTAGCAGGCTCTGAAAAGAGCGCGGTCGCCTCGCCGATGCCGCGGAGCTTCTCCTTCGAGGTGTGGAGGTCCTCAGGGGTCGCGACCTGCGCATGGCTCGTCGGGAATGGTCACCAGCGTCGTGTGCGACCTCTCTCCGGAGGCGTGCGACCGAAGGGAGAGCGGTGAGGCGAGGCTGAAGTCACAGCTGAAGCAACTGGATTTCAGTTGCTGACAGTTGTGGGCGCTCCCGCGTGAACTGACGGCAGGTAAGCCGGCAGGTGGGGGGCGGGGGTGTGCCGGGTGGATCCCCAAGCGGGCGAGCCGGGCCCATGCATAGTTCGCGCGCGGGGGGCGCGCGAGCATGGGAAAGACGCACCTCCATCGTGCTTGCTACCGGCGCTTTCTTGGCCGTTGGCACCATCGTTGATGACTTGATTGCGCGGGAGTCGAATCCCAAAACCTCTCCGCTCGAGAGGGAATTTCATTGTTTTGGGGGATTCCGACCGACCTACAAGTACAACGAGCCGGGCGGGTGGCTGCTACTCTCGTTTCACGTTTCCAAAAAACGACAACAAAGGCCTCGTTATCATTTATGAAAACCGATTGCGCCAACGCGTTCTCGAGACGCGTGTACACGCATCCGAGCCCGCGCCGAGCGCGCACATGCCATCCTGGTAGTGAGCACAGGACCGTGGCTTCCCACGTCATGGATCAGTCATGGCACCGATTTATCGTCCGTTGCATTTCCCGTTTGCGAGCCAACGCGTTCTCGAGACGCGTGTACACGCATCCGAGCCCGCGCCGAGCGCGCACATGCCATCCTGGTAGTGAGCACAGGACCGTGGCTTCCCACGTCATGGATCTAGTAGCCTGGGCCGCGCACTCGTTTACCTGCGCTTGCGCGCCGGACTTTCACCGGTCTACAGTTCCGGACGGGCATTAAGAACCCCCCCCATTAAGAACCTGAGGCTTACATTTTGGCGGATTGTCGCCCATCTAACTAAGAACCTGAGCCTGGGCTAAGGCTAGGTCGGACACCCATCTCGAACCCACGACCCGGTACAGCACACGCTAGTGCGCATCTACAGCACACGCTGATGCGCAGCGCGTGCGAGAGGCAGGACTACCCTGTCCTGGCCTATCGGCCTATCTATCCTACACAGCCTCCAGCAAGACCCACGCGTTGGGCACCTCGTTGTGCCCGTAGTCGTCGAGAGAGAGCACGTGCAACGGTCGTAGGACCCCCCCCCCCCTAAGAACCTGAGGCTCGCGTGCCGGCCTGCCTTCGACATAGCTAAGAACCTGAGCCTGGGCTACGAGCGCCGCAGTTCTTAATGCCCGTCCGGAACTGTAGGGTTTGGCACCAGGATGAGGCAGAGGGTGTGGCCACTGAAGGCATTTTTCGGCACCCTGCAAGGCAGTGTCTACTCGTCCTTGGACTCGCCGTTGTAGTTGCTGTAACTGTAAGGCGCGCATGGCGCTGCTTCGTTGTCGGGCGAACGACCGGGAAAGCACGGCAGGCTCAACTCAATGATATCCTTGTTTGTGTACCCGAATTCGCCTCCGTCGTCAGTCGGGAACAGGTTGCGGAACGGGAGCCCGCCAAGGGCGAAATCTTTGAGGAGAGTCCCCGGGACCCACGGGAGAGTCGGATCGGCCAGGCTGCCGCGGACGAAGAAGTCCGTGGGGCGGTAGCTTGTCATGTAGATGAAAGGGCCCGACGAGGAGTACGTCCTGGCGCCGTTTGTGAGCTTGTAGGTCAGGGACCCCTCTTGCGGGGACGGGAAGGTCGGCTGGATGCAATTGCTCGAGAAAATGGGGTTGAAGATGGGTTCTGCGGTGTTGTCCGAAGTGCTGCCGTTCGGGTTGTTTGCCGCGCTGGAGCAGGCTGGCCCAAGAAAGTGTGGGTAGACTTCTGCAGCTGTCAGGGTGTTGAAAAACTTCTTGAAGCCATCCTCGTCGGAACGCACATGGCCAGCGTGGGCATTGTAAATCGCAATGTAGTCATCGTGTGTCCCTGTCGCCTCTTCGCGCCACCTTGTCGAAAATGATTGGTTGGGGAACTGGTGCGTGTTGGGACTCTGTTTTGCGCCAAGCAGATCAATCCACTGCTGCAGGTCAAAGTTTCGGAAATCCTCGACCGGCTTGACGTAGCCCCTCAGTTCCATCCTCTGGTTCGAGTTCCAGATCAGGTCCTTGACGAGGGGCACATCTTCGAATTTCGTCACAGTGTCATTCCATTCTTCGATGGTCACCTGGCGCGGGTAGCCGAAGTAGTCTGCGGAGAGTCCTGGTCCCGGTGGTTTCTGGTCCCAAAGCTCCCTATGGTGATGGTCGACGAAACGGCCTTCTTTCTTCATGCTCGTCTGCCACTCCATGAAGTTCTTGTCGATGTAGGCGTGGTAGGAGAAGAAGAGGGCGGGGTCCGACGGCGAGGTCGTCACGTCGCCAATCTCGCCCAGCGTCTTGTCATGTGCCGTCGAGTGCAGGGCGTACACCTTCTTGAGGTCTTGCTGCGTGCACGTATCCTTGTCAGCCGGGCAGTACTCGCCTTCGAGGGTGCCGGAAAGATTCTCCTCCTGGCAGTTCTGCCACTCGGTCCAGATGCGGGTGTTGTTGGAGTTGGCGCACGCGTCAAAGTCGTCCTTCGTGTACCGGATCAGGGAGTCCTGCTGCGATCGCCCGTTCTGGTTCGCTGGCCAATTGTCCAGGGTCTGCGGGAACTGGACCCCTGGAAAGGTGGTGGAAAGGGGTCCAGACCCGCGTCCGTTCGGGTTGCGGGTGACATACGGGGAGCACGTCGCTGTGTCGAGCGTCGGCCCGCGCATGTAGGTTTCCGCGCGGTCCACGCCAAACTCGCACGTGCAGGCACCGTTCTTACCGTCCCGGTTCGCGTCGCAGCAGCGCTCGCAGTTCTGGGTCGCCTGGTTATCCAGTCCGAGTCCGTAGAAGTATGGAGACTTGCGGAGCGCTGTGTGTTTGTTCGCGCTCCGGGGGTTGAGGTACTTGTCGGTGATGCACTGGTTGGTCACGCCGTACTTGTGGTCCTTCATCCAGTACTCGTGGTCAAAGTCGGACCAACGAGGCATCTTCCGATACGCCCAGCGCCCGTTCGTGACTTCAAAGTTTGGGCCGGACCCGTGCATCTCGCCGAAGTAGTTGCACGACCAGATGTACTTCTCCGGGTCGCAATGCCGCTCGGGGTGGCCCATGTCGAGGTTCGCCCTTTTCGGGTCATCGTTTTTCGAGCCGTAGGTCATGTTCGGGTTCGAAAGGGTGGGGCAGTAGAGTTCCCCGGCCGCGACCTTCACGGTCCCGTCGAGGTTGAGGACAGGCGCGCTGTCCAGCGCCATGTTCCACCACGGGGTCGCGCCGATGGACGGGTCCACGGCGAGGATCGCCTCCTCAAAAGTCAGCACGTACGACTTGTGGAACAACATGAAGCCCGGCGTGCGGTGGCCTTGGTCGCCGCGCGGGTCCGCTGCTGCGCAGGCGTGCAAGTTGACGAGATCGGGAAAGGACCAGGCGGTCTCGCCGTAGCACTCCCGGAGCTCCTTGGTCGTATGCTGGTCCAGCACCTTGAGCGCGCACGCGTACTTGTCGATTTCGGTCGGGCTCAATTCGCGCCACTCCTTCCGCTCCCGGGGTAACGAAAAGTCGGCATTCGCCCTGTGTGCGCCACCGTCACACTTCCGCCTTGGTGGGCACTTCGGCTCCTCCGGGCACTTCGGCTCCGGGGGCAAAGATGAAAACATGAGGTTGCGGTCGGCCGCCCCGGTTCCGGCTTGGTCCGGCACCTGTTGAGGGGGGGCGTGGGGTGAGAGGGCGATGCGATTCCATCATGTGTGCACATTTGTGCGTTGACGCGCGCGCGCACCGACGCAGAGAGCGACCCGGTCACGAGGGCCGCCAAAGCAAACCAGCGTGTGTAGAGCGTCATCGATGAACCTGCGACGACCACGGTGAGCGTCAGCACGGCCGCTGCATTGGAATGCACGAACAGCTATATGCGCATTGTGGAGATGTACGGGGTCTGGAATGAGAGGGGAGGGGGCGGGGGACAAAGTCGATGAGCCTGCGGGCGGCGGCGAAGGGGGGCGGGGGCGGGAAGCGGGCTCAAGATGGACACGCGCGGCAGCTGGCTTGCAGAGGAGGGGGCGGTAGGACGCTCGCCAACGAAGGGCTGATGGACGAAACTGACGGCAGAGAAGGCGGTATGGCAGAGGAGGAGGCGGACAGGGGGAGGCGGCGGTCCCTAAAGGGCGGCGGCGGCGGCGGCGGAGGGCGGCGGCGGTAAGGGCAGCGGAGAGGCCGCGGTACGAGCGGCGGCAGGGGCGGCTGCAGCGGTGGCGGTGAGGAGGGATGGGGGAGGGCGGCGGCGGCGAGGGCGGCGGCGAGGGCGGCGGCGAGGGCGGCGGCGGCGGCGAGGGCGGCGGCGGCGGCGGTGGCGGCGGCGTCGATGGAGGCGGCGATGACGGCGACAGTGCTGACGGTGGCGGCGATGACGGCGGCGTGAGAGGAAATCGGCGAGGGCGGCGGCGGCGAGAGAGGCGGCGAGAGCGGCGGCGGTGCTGGCGGCATCGATACTGACGGCGTTGGCGATGACAGCGGCGGTGTCAATGAAGGCGGTGATGACGGCGGCGGCGGTGACGGCGACGGAGATGACGGCGGCGATGACGGCAGCCGTGCTGACAGTGGTGGCGTCGACGGTGCCGGACCTTCATGAGCTGAGAGCCCGTCCTCGATGCGGGGACGAGCCCGAAGAGCGCCACGTAGGGCTTCTCACGCAGTGAGACATGGCCGGGTCGAACGCCGCGTCGACTGGAGCGGCGATGACGGCGGTCGGGTCGATGTCGAGGACGGGCCGAGACGTGACAGTGACCGCGCGAACGCCCTGTGCCGCCGGGGAGCCGGTCCGTCATTCAAGTGCTTGAATGGGAGGCACCCACGGGGCGGCACTGCAGCGGCGCACCGCACTCTCGTCCGCGATGTCCGTGTAGCACTCGGTGGTCGCCTGCGACAAGCCGCCGGTGCGGTCGCCCTTGTAGCAAGGTCTTCGAGCAGGTATGCGCAGACGGTACGCCGACCTCGTACTGCGAGGGAAGCAGCAGCGACCGAGGAGGCGACGGTAAGGTGGGCTGCCGGCGTGCCGGAGATGGCGACGCGGGCCTGCGCGAGGGCGAGGAGAAGGGTGGAGGCAGGCGGGAAGGCGGCGGGGGGAGGGGAAGGGGGGTGATCTAGGGGGAGGAAGGGGGGGTTGGGGGAGGGAGGGGCGAGGGCCGCCGGCACCTTCTCCGGACACGGCCCGCCGCCCTTCATGAGAGCTGAGAGCCCGTCCTCGATGCGGCGAGCCCGAAGAGCGCCACGTAGGGCTTCTCACGCAGTGAGACATGGCCGGGTCGAACGCCGCATCGACTGGAGCGGCGATGAGGGCGGTCGGGTCGATGTCGAGGACGGGCCGAGACGTGACAGTGACCGCGCGAACGCCCTGTGCCGCCGGGGAGCCGGTGCGTCATTCGAGTGCTTGAATGGGAGGCACCCACGGGGCGGTAACGCAGCGGCGCACCGCACTCTCGTCCGCGATGTCCGTGTAGCACTCGGTGGTCGCCTGCGACAAGCCGCCGCGGTGCGGTTGTAGGCCTTCGAGCAGGTGCGCGCAGACGGTACGCCGACCTTGTACTGCGAGGGAAGCGGCAGCGACCGAGGAGGCGACGGTGAAGTGGGCTGCCGGCATGCCGGAGATGGCGACGCGGGCCTGCGCGAGGGCGAGGAGAAGGGTGGAGGCAGGCGGGAAGGCGGGCGGGCGGAGGGGGGAAGACGGGAGCCGGTGCGTCATTCAAGTGCTTGAATGGGAGGCACCCACGGGGCGGTAACGCAGCGGCGCACCGCACTCTCGTCCGCGATGTCCGTGTAGCACTCGGTGGTCGCCTGGGACAAGCCGCCGCGGTGCGGTTGTAGGCCTTCGAGCAGGTACGCGCAGTACGCCGACCTCGTACTGCGAGGGAAGCGGCAGCGACCGAGGATGACGATGATGACGATGGTGATGATGGTGATGAGGGACTCGTACCAACCATTCTTCTTGTCGATGACGGAATCGGCGGTGGAGAAGTCGGAGGTGAGCGCGGAGAGACCCGAGGCGCGACCGCCGCACGCAGCGAACAAAGAGCTGGTCCGCGATGTAGCAGATGTTGTCCGGCACGGAGAGCGTCGTCGCCTACACAAGCAGGGGCGGGGCGTCAGAGCCGGCCAGGCAGAGGGCATAGCGGGGAGGCGGAGGCGAGGGGGGAGGGGACGGGGGCGGAGATGACGGAGAGGAGGAGGGGGTGGGGGAGGGGGCGGAGGGAGGGTCCTTTTGCCTCGTCCGGGGCGAAGCAGCACCTACGGGAAGGTTCCGAGAAAGTTCAAGGGCCCACCTTCTGGAAGGTTCCGGGAAGGTTCTGGGCAGGCCACGGTGTCGGTGCACACAGAGAGCGTGCGCGAGCTGCGCGCCTGCTCGAGGTCAGGTCCCTCTCGGCTCGCCCCGGGCTCTCCACCCCTACGAGCCTCATGAGCAGCGCGGGGTTGCCCGAGCATTCGAGGGATGGGATGAATGGGCAGCAGTCTGCGTCAAGACGATCAAGGGGAGGATGTTGACGACGACGATGAAGAAGAAGGTGACGTTGTTGATGATGATGTTGACGAGGGTGGCGATGAGGATGGTGACAAGGATGGTGATGAGGATGGTGATGAGGATGGGGGCGAGGATGCTGGTGAAGACGGTGACGATGATGGTGATGCTGACGACGGCGCGAGGACTTATCATGCTGATGCTTTGCGGTGATGGTGATGAAGGGCAGGGGGCAAGGCACCTCTCCGCTCGCGCGCCGAGTAGATCGTTCTCTCTCATCGAGTCGACGCACGCGAGCATTCCGAGGATGAACAAATATGCGAGTGGCGAAAGAGATGCTCGACTCGCCGCATATGCTCATGCGATGCAGGGTGTGCTCGAGGCCGGCGAGGTAGCCGACGGTGGAGGCCGCCCACGTACGCTTGCCCAAGGTCCCGCCGCCGACGGTTTTCGCATCGCTCCGGGGTGTGTATTGGGGTATGATTCCGGGCGGCGATGGGCTTGTGTCTTGGCGGTGCTGCGTCTGTTGGGGACTAGCTTGGGATGGCTGGCTGGCGGGCCTCGAGTTGACGGACGGACACCTGCGAGGGCAGACAGGGTGCGATTCCCACGGAATCCGGCTGCGGCGCGGCGAACGCGAGGGCCGCACCTTGATGAACACGAGCAAAAGCGGCGGCTGGTCGATCAGGTTTATCCGAGACACGGCATCTCCCGACCTCAGAAGGCCAACTGGTCCAACCAAGGGCAATGGTGCGCAAAAGCGGCGTGGTTCTCTATCTTCTCTCCGCAGCACTCATCGTCCCTAGCGGCGAACGCGAGGGCCGCACCTTGATGAACGCGAGCGAGGGCCGCACGCAGAAGCGCACGCGAACTGAGGATGGAACCCTCAGCGGCAGAGACTGTGTCGCCAGTCTCGCTGTATTCAGAAACGGCGGCCAAGGCGACAGCCGCAGGCATGTACATGCGCGGGAAGACCGCCGCCACGACCGTGCCGTGCGTCTAACCCAGCCCCGGAAGAAAACCATTCTCGAGGTTCTCGAGGTGGATATCCTTTGGCCGCGTTGGGTAGCGAGGATTGGTGTAACCCGAGCCACGGAGGCGTGTTTTCTGGCGGCCGACCGTCAGTGCACGGAGTTGCCACTTCTCCGACTGCCCCGGCTAGTTCCCGAGGTCGTCGGGTGTGACCCCTTCGTCCCCCGAGACCTACCTAGCGCGGGTGGGTTGGAAGGGGCTCGCCCCGTTCCTCCCCATCGGGCCGCGTGAGCGGCCTCGCCTCGCAGATTCGTTTTTCGCGCCTGGGTCAGGCGCGCGGGGCATCCCCCGGGTCGCTCGACCAGCGATCCGAAGAGTGGCCGCTATGCGAGGGAAAGAGCGGGGCCCACGGGGTACGCCTCCGTCCGGCCCCCTCCGAGGGGGGAAGGGAATTGTGGGGTCCCCACGGGCGCCTCAGTTCGGCCCTCCCGAGGGGGGGGAGGGGAGCAAGGGGGTGGGGGGGTCGGGGCGGTGGGGAGGGGTCTCGGTTTCATGTGGCTAATACTTGCCTTTCGGGGAGGGGCCTCCGGCCGTGCTAGCGCAGTGGCGCCCGCTCGACATCTTCCCCTCCTCCCTCGAGGCAGCGAGTAGGCAGCGAGTGAGGGTATCGAGCGCCTATATGTAGGTATGTGAGATGGCGATGGGAATGGGTGGTTGGACGGGCGGGCGGGCGGGCGGGCAGGCGGGCGGGCGGGCGGGCAGGCGGGGCGGGGCGGGCGGGCGGGGTGATCGGAGAAATCGTATCCACAATCAGCAGGAGTGGAGCAGCAAAAGCAGCAGCAGGCGCTAACGTAGCAGCAAGTAGCAGCAGCAGCAGCAGCAGCCTCACTCCTGCGGTGTCTAACTCTTTCAGTCTATCTAGGCGGCCGCGAGGTTAATATACCAAATAATGGTGTCAAAACACCGGGGGGTGGTTGGCGCGCAGGCGCCTGAGGGGCTCGTGCCGAGCGCGCAGATGGCTCGACATCAACCCCTCCACAACACGATGCACTGCATTAGACGCCACACCCTCTCTCTCCACTAGACACTCACTCTCACTTCTCCTCTCGACTAAGCTCGCTGGAGCAGACGCTGGGGGGACACTCACGCCCGGAGGCGGTACGCACGACCCGGAGGCGTGGGGATGGGGGGGGGCCGCGCCGCCGCCGCCGTGCCGCCTTCTCCCGCTTTGACCTCCCCCAGCTGCTTCTCCTCAAATCAACCTGTGAGCTTGCGAGGGCGGCGGGGGTGGGAGTGCTCTCGGGCGGCGTGTGCGAGCGCGCGCGGCGCGAGATCTCTTTCGCGAGGGCACGGTGGGTCGTGTATCGTCGCACTATTTCACGTTATATCAGGCGCTGCCCCTGACTGCCTCTGCAGAACCGCCAGCGGCGGTGGTCGAACCGGTTCGCGGTTCGAGCCGGGACCTTTTGGCTCCAGGTTCGATTCCCGCGAGGAAGGTCGCTTCGCTCTCGCGGAGCGAGCGCGGGCGCGCGGGCGCGCGGGTGCGCGTGCGCGTGCGCTGCTGCAAGGCGAGGCGAGGCGCGGCGCGGCGCGGCGCGGCGCGGCGCGGCGAGGCGGGCGGCGGCGGCGCGCGATCGTTGCTTTTGCTCGGGTGAGGCGTGGCTTGCGCGCCGCGCAGTGATGACGCCGCACGTTGAAAAGTCCTTGGTGACCCACCGCGGTGGCAGCGAGCCAAAGCAAGCCACCTGCCGCATGACGGGTTGACCGAGCAAAGGTTGGGGGAGCCGAGCAAAGGTTGGGAGCCGAGCAAAGGTTGGGAGCCGAGCAAAGGTGGGAAGTGTGGCGCCGGGCCCCGCCCTCCAGGGCGTGACGCGTCTAGTGCCAGCGACGCAAACGGCAAGTGTTTTGCGACGGGTACGGTGTTGGGCGATCGTTGAATGAAAGTAGCAACCACTCACACACGCCTCTAACCAATTGGCTCAGTTGAAGAGGCCGCTCCCACAGCTCTCACACCTATCTCTCTGGTACACAATATTGGAAGCGTTGTGAATTGTGGACCATTGGCCTCCTAAAAATCTCTCTCTCAACTCTCTCTCCGTAAGACTTCGGAGAAGGCAAGCCGTGAAGTTGTCAACCGTCTCGGCGTCGACAACAACTGGAACTCGAACCAGTCGTGCTGCGGGAACGGCCACCCCTCTGATTGCTCTGACAGGCACGCCTTGCACCTCGCCATGGATCCGCGGCAGAAGCCAATCCCGCAACGTTTTCAGGAAAGAGAGGAGGAAGACGCATACCAAAACTGCTCCAATCGGTAGCTCCGTGCGTTGCCTTTCACTGTGTAGGAGTTGTTGCAGCTTCTCGATCTTTGAAGTCTTGTCCTGCAGCAACATTTTCTGCCTCCAAATGTAGTCTAATACGTCATCGCACCTCCGCCATGAGGACGGCCCTGTGCGAGCGCTGTCGTTGAGAACGAAGCGGCCGGAGTGTTCTTGTTGCCTTCAAGACATATTTCCTGAGGTAGCTCGTTCCCTTGGTGAGGGCGGCCGGGTCGTGCATACGTCTGGGCGACGTCCGTCGGACTACGGTCCGCCATCTTTAGCAGGTCTTTGATGTGATCGGCTTCAAATCGTCCTCCTTGACGCCGCTCGCGATGTTGGTACGGGCGAGGTCGAGTGTCTCGGTCATGGTTTTGAAGAGGGAAGTCGTGCGTCCCGCCTCGAGCTGCAGATCCCGGCCGGTCACATTCGTGTACGTGTCCCGCTGATACGCAAGGATGTCCAGTTGTGGGGAACCAGTGGCTCTGAATGCGCATGCCGAGGGTCGAGTCTGACTCAAAGCGCACGGGGTTGGTGCCGCCGACCGTCGGGAGGAAGCCGAGGAGTGCCAGGAGGATCCAGAGGGCGCCGACGGTGCCGATTACGCCGCAGAGAGTGGCGGTCGAGGCCAGGCCGTGCGCGTGGGCCGGTCGGGCTCGGTCCTGCGGCGGGCGACGGGGCGCCGCACGGCTGGCCCCGTCGGCCGAACGGCGCTGCCGAGCGGCCGGGCGCTTCGGGTTGGGCCCGCCGGCCGGCCGGGCGCCGGCTGGCATGGTCGGCCGGGCCCCCGGGAGGCAGGGGCCGGGGCGCGGTCGGGAGGGGCCGCCAAATCGACCAAATCGAAGTGGGGTGCCGCGATTGGGCTGCTACTTTCAATGATAGGGACTAGAGTGAGGCCCTTGACGGGCCCCGCCCCCAATGGGGCGGGGTTGAATGGGCTAGCGCTGGCGTGGCGTTGACATGAGCACAAAGTTGCTAATGTGCGTAGACGAACCAAAAGTAGGGTTGAAATCGTCCACGTAAGGCTTAGGGAGTGCTTGGGGTGGCCTCAGGCATCCCCAAGGGAGTCGCAGCGGTGCCCCATAAGCAGCTTAGCGATTGTCGAACCTCGAAGCGCGTTTGTTTGAAGAAAGGCACACGCGACACGGTACTATCGGGCCACCGGAGAGTCACCGGTAAACTTCGACACTTAGAGGGGTGAGAGCATGCATTATTGTGGCATATCATGTCACATAAGGTCGAGCTTGACTGCAGAAGCATCAAGAAGCGGATACTCCAACTCGACTGTGCCGGCAAACTGCCTCCTCACGCCGGCCGGCTGCCAGCAGCCGTCGCGGCCCGTGGCGTGCACCAGAGAGGGAGAGAGGTCGAGTCCGCATGGCTCAGGCCGGCCAGAAGGTGTGTGGCGACATCACCGTGGCAGGAGTGCGGAGAAGAGCTCGCCGAACGCGAGCAGCGGAAGGCCGAAGTGTGCCAGCGCAAGAGCCTCGCGAACGGGTGCAGAAGGAGCTCGCCGTGACACGATGCCGGGCGGTGGTGGTGCTCTGGCGGCTGTGCACAGTGGGAAAGGTCAGGCTGCAACAGCGTAGCACGATGGTAGTGCCCCGCTGCAGCCTGGCCTGACATGCACAGGGCGAACAGAGACCTTGCTATCGCCTGGCGCTCGTCTGGGCAAACTTTGACCGCCGCCCGGCTCGCCACGAGCACGCAGCGACAAAATGATGACCGTGTCGAAGTTGAGGCTGGTCGAGAGGAAGAGGCTGCCGTGCGAGCCGGCAACTGGCTGGCTCGGCGTGAACGGCCGGCGGCGACTTTTTGCCGAAGAGCGTGCCTGCCGAAGAGCGAGTCTGACTCAAAGTGCACGGAGTGGGTGCCGCCGACCGTCGGGAAGAGTCCGATGGGTGCCAGGAGGATCCAGAGAGCGATGAAGGCGCAAATTGCGCCGCCGAAAGCGGCGGTAGAGGCCAGGACGTGCGCGTGGGCCGGTCGGGCCACGTCCCGGGGCGAGCGATCGAGGGCCGCGGGGCTCGCCCCGCCGGCCGAGCGGTGCGAACGGCCGGTCGCCCGCTTCGGGTTGGACCCGCCGGGCGGTCCGGCGGCGGATGGCACGGCCGGGCGGGCCCCGGGAGGCAGGCGGGGCCGCGACAGGCGGCAGGGCAGAAAATCCCATTCGGAGAGTGGTTGGACAGACCCGGTTGCTACTTTCAATGATAGGGAAGCTCGGCCCTACGAACTCAGGCGGGTATGGCAGCTGTGAATCAGATGTGAATGACAAAGGCTCGGCCCCACGAACTCAGGCGCGGGGCTGGCAGCTGTGAATGATAGCAAAAGCTCGATCCCAGGAACTCAGGCGGGCTTGCATTAATGATAGCAAGCAAAGCTCGGCCCTACAACTCAGTCCTGGCGGCATCTGGTCCCCCACCTGGTCGAAGACCTGCCGTGGCTTGTAAAAGCATTTAAACAAAACAACTCTCTCTCTTCACAGCAGACAAACAAAAGCATTGCGCGAGCGTTCTTGGGCGCGCGTGACAATTGAGCACTTGAGCACTTGAGCACTTGAGCACTTGAGCACTTGATAGGGTCGATTCCGCATATGGTACGGGACCCCATGAACACCCCAGTGCATGCCGTCCGCCACATGGGCTGCCATCGGCATACACAAGGCGCAAGCTCACCGAACGGCGGGAGGTGTACGCGGCCCAGAAGAATTTTACTAGAAGAAATCGGGCCGTGTCGTTCCCTCCGCTGGAGAGAGGTCCATCAGTTCCCGTTCCCCAGGACCTCCTCTCCAGCTGCGACCGTGGATCACGCGTGACAATCGCGATGTATTTGTATGTCAGTAGTCAGAGACGATGAGTGTGGTCTGTGAGCTTTGAGTTGAGGCTGTGACGGAGACCAATTTATTTGTCAAACACAAACTTTGAGCTGTCGTGTGAGGGTCGGCCCGCACGCGCGTCTGGGGAGGCGACCCCCCCATCTTTGTTTACCGAATGCGTCTCTGGATTAGAGTGCGTCTAGTAGGTGCCCGCAGGCCCGGAGGCCAGCATGCGGCCGACCAGCTGATAAGGAGTCTCTCTCTTTCTTCTCAATTTCACGGGCTCTGAGCCGAGTCTGAGGCTGGTTTGGGCCCAAAATCAGCCGACTCTCGGCAAAATACCGGGTATTTTGCGGGTACCTGGAAAACCCCGGGTATACCTGGAAAATTACCCGGTATTTTGCCGGTTTCCTCGGTTTCGCCTCAGATTTTGGCCCAGACCAGCTCTCAGACACAGCTCACAGGGAAACTCGAGAGTTGCCAGAATGGAGCACCAAACACCCTCTGGTTTCCCTGGAAATTTCTGGAAACGAAAAGTGCTGGGGACCCTCTCGTTTCCTTTTTGGTTTCCGGAAACATGGGTACAGGCCAAGCTCCGGCCGGTGTGCGCTTGGGCACGTGGGATTAGGGTACTTTGCTGGTATGGTATCTGTGAATAAATGGAGTATGTACTTTCACACCCCTTGGGGTGTTCACGACCACTTGCGGTCATTACGCACTTGTGCGTTCACGCCCCTTGCGGCGATCGTTTCACAGTCCATCAACTGTGAAAAACAAAACAACTTCCAACGGTCTACGGGGTTCAAAACTGAGGTGGTCTAACTATCATTATTTTTCCCGCTCGGGACTCCTCAGCCTGTAGGCGGTCTACGGAGGTGTTCAGTGAGATTGCTTGGGAGCGTCTGAGATTAAATAAGGAATACACCGAAGCAAGAGAATGGTTACACAAAAAAGAGAGTGGTTTTGAAAAATCTCTGGCTGCAACCTCCCTGTCGCTCGACCCCATCACGACGGTCGACGCGATCTTTGAAGTTTGAACTTTGTCAAGCGCAACAACTTCAACCTGCTGCTCCACGGGACGTTCGGCGGCGGCTTCTCGCCCACCGCCGTTCTCAAGCTGCGCCGCCTCGCGCGCAAAGTCGCGCGCGGCAGCGTTGACCGCACGGCCTACTCGCCCAAGTACTCGCTCTCTTTTATGTCCCACCATGCAGAGCGCATCTCTCTCTCTGTTGTGCGAGGCGTGAACCGCGCCATTCGCTCTCACCTGGCAACCCTGTCTGCACGTCTCGCGCGCGCGTGAACAGGGCTCCAGGCCCCAAATTACGTGTGAGTGTTAGAGTTGTTTGGTATTGCTAAAAATCTCTCTCAACTGTGAGAAGGAAGAAAGGTCAACTGTTCAAGAAAAACGACACCCCCTCTCTGGGTAATTTGCGGACGGAGCCAGCCCTCTTGTGGCTTCGACTCTACACGCTGTGTGTATGTAGGAAGGTGAAGAACAGCCAGGCTCGGACACGCTATTTCCAGACCTCGATTTCTTCTGGACGCGTCTGCCCCAGGGTTCCAACTTTTTCCGGGGTATGGTATGGTGCACTCGGCGCCAAAAGGGTGGGGGGGTATGGTCCTGACCGCCCAAGGCTAGCCCTCGACAGGGGTGGGGGGGTATGGTACTCGCGCGGGGACGGCCAGCCAGCCTGCAGGTGCGGGTGCGGCGACCGGCGCGGGTGCCGCGCCCGCCGCTCGCCAGGCGAGTGCCAACTTTGCCGCCGCGTAGACTAGCACCGTGGACGGCGGCCATCCGCGCGTATCTAAGTGTGCGTGCGTGTCCTAAGTGTCGGTCGGTGTCTGCAGCCTCCTCGTGGAGCCTAGCAGTAAGGCGGCCGGCGGTGGGGCGAGGGGGGGGGGGGGGGGTCCCGTCGGCGGAAGGCTGGGTCTGTCAGCAGGCGGGGGGTATGGTCTCGAGGTGGGTTGGGTGAGCCTACCATCCATACCAAGTACCATGCCCCGGACAGGGCGACGATCGCCATGACAAACGCCGTGGACCCCAACGTCCGCTACTGGGCCGAGCTGGACCGCGAGGTGCGCGGGCTGATGGACGGCGCCACCGCGGAGGAGGCGGAGCTCTCGTCGGACGATGAGGGCGCTGCCGAGGGGCTGCTGGGCGGCGAGACGCTCAGCTGGAGCCGCGCGCGGCACTCGGGCGCGGTGTACGCCGAGGCGCCGCGCGCCGAGAGCCGGCCGGCCGCCGCGGGCGACGCCTTTCGCTCGCGCCTCGCGGCAGCCTTTGACGCGCTGCCCGCGCCGTCGGCGATCGCTGCTGGCGGCGGCGCGGTGGGCGCGGCGGGCGATCGCATCGGCCCGGCCTTCTCGCGGCAGGCGCAGGGCCACTCGCTCGCCGAGCCAGAGAGCGTCTCGAGCTGGCATGCGCTCGCCTCGCGCGAGGCGCGCGGGGAGGAGGAGCTCGCGGGGCCGTCTGCGGCGGGGAGCGGCCGCGGCGGCGGAGAGGAGGAGGACGAGGAGGGGGACATTGCGATGCTTGCGCGGCGGGCGGCGATCGCCGCCGAGGACGGCGTCGGCGGGGGAGAGGAGGAGGAGGAGGAGGGGGAGGACGACGACGACGATTGGGACGCGGGGTGGGACGACCCCGACGCCGCCGGGCGGCGCAAGGTCAGCCGCGGAGGTGGAGGCGGCGGCGGAGGCGATGCCGCTGCCAGCTCGGACGACGTCGAGATTGGCGAGTGGTCGACGCACACGGCGAGCTGGGCGCGCGACGCCGACGACTCCGACGAGGACGACGGCGCGGCAAGTGCGGGCGGAGGGGCGGCGGGGGCGGGCGGCGGGGCGGGCGGCGGCGGGGCGTTTGGCGGCCTGGACGACCTCGACGAGCTCGACGGAGGCGGGGACGACGGGATGGACGACGGGATGGACGTCTCCTCGCCGCCGCCGGCCGTCGCGGGCGAGAAGCGCGTCCGCTTTGGCGACGCCGCGGCGGCCGCTCCCTCGCCGTCGGCGGGGGCGCGGCGCGGCGCTGCGGCGGCGGCGGCGGCGGGCCGAAGGGAGGGCGTGGCGGGCGGGTCGCGCGCAGGGTACACGCACTACTCGCTGGCGGAGACGGAGGCGCACGGCGAGGAGAGCAACCGCGCCGGCCTCACGCAGGCGCGCGCGCTGCTGGGCGCCGCGGGCGGGGCAGACGCCGGCGCCGGCGAGGGAGCGGCTAGGGGAGCGGGTGCTCCTCCGGCCGAGGGCGGGCGCGAGGCGAGCTTTGGGCGGCGGGCGGCGGGCGGGGCCGGCGCGCGCAGCCGCCACGGGGGCGCGGCTCCGTCCGCCGGCGCCGGAGGAGGAGCGCGGGTGCGGCTCTCGCACTTGATGGCCGGCGATGATGGCGCGTCCGAGCTGGACAGCCTGGACGAGTGAGCAGAGGGGAGGAGGCAGGTGAGGCGAGGCGGCGAGGGCGCGGGGCCCCTGCGGCGCGCAGGGCGGTGTGCACGGACGGTGCAGGGTCAGGGAGAGGGACGTGTGTGTGTCTTGATCGTTGCACGAGCGCGTTGGGCGTTCTTAAGCGTTCGCGATCGTGCAGCACCCACAGCACCGATGTGACGCAGCTCGCCGCTCGAGTACCGGCTACCAGCTACGAGCTACCCCACACACTATATACATGTAGATCCCCCACAGCGCGCGGCGGTCAGCGCACACAGCCACACAGGGGCAGGGCCCAAGCCACGTTACGACAAAGATGTGATGTGACATGTGTTTACAAAACGCGAGAGTGGACCCGCCAAGCCCCGAACCCCGAAGCGCTCTCCCCCACTCGCACACACACACACCAGTCACCACCGACAGCCGGACACGTGCGCCGCGACGCCAGACGCGACTAGGTCCAGCCCTGGGTGAGCCGGGTTGTGACATTTGGCGATTCCGCGGCTTACTGGGCCCCTGAGCTGCTACCCGTGTGCGATTTTTTGTGGCCCGGACATGATACTGATAGTAAACGGGTCAGAACCGGCCAAACACAGGCTACAGCCCCACACACGCGCCCGCCATAGCTCCTGGAGAGCATGCGCGAGTGACGCGTTGCAAGCCGCGAGAGTGGCATCAGAGGCAGGAACGACGTGCTCTTGCTGCACCTCGCAGCTGCACCAAGTGTGCTCGCAGTGTATGCCACGGCCACTGCCTGCGGCATTGCTCTCGTGCAGCTAAGGCGACGCAGGTCCATCAGCAGGGCTCATCCAATGCGAGCACACATTGTGCTTAGCCGCGGGCAGGTGGCAGTGCACAGCCGCACACCGGCTGTGGCGGCTCGAATGCCCCCGGCAGCAATGCTGGTCATTAACTTGCGTATTAGGGCCGCAGCAGGCTGCTGCTGTGGCAGCAGCAGCAGCCTGCTGCTGCCTGATTCAGTCAAGCCAGCGGTGCAGCGAGGCGTGCAGAATTCGCGCGGTTTGGTACCTCCTGAGGCTGAGCGCGTTCAGACTCGGTGACCGGAGTTGGATGGTCCGATGGAGCTCGGCGAGCTCCATCGGACCATCCATGGCCGGACGGCGGAGCGTGAGGTGGCGAGCGGAGAGATGTACCGCAAGACCAAAAAAACACGGATCTGACGCGATGTCCCAAAACGTCAGATCTGGCTCACCCAGGGCTGGACCTAGTCACGCCAGTCGGCACGAGTGTCCGCGCGCGCAGTGCCAGAAAGTGGTCACTGCACTCTGCACACGCCGCGCTCGAGACGCGCCGCGCCCACCCGCGCCCGCCGCGCGGTGACTCATGCGTTCGGACGTATCCCGTAATCCCAGCCGCCGGATGGCTCACGCGGCGCACTCCCATTACAGCTCATCAATGTCGGCATGCAGGTCAGTCTCTCCGGTGCAAACCACTGCCAACCCACTGCATTCGCATGCTTGAACCGTTTATGCTAGGGAGTTGTCGCTGAGGCAGCTCGCTACGGCCTCGCGGCCGTCCGCCTCGACGAGGCACTCCTCGAGAGTCTCGGCAGGGCCGAATCGTGTGTGGCGCTTGTCGGCCTCGGTGATGAGCGTGGTGGGGCAGCGAGTCGCATCGACGATGTACTTGTTATCCGTGACGTCGATCGGGTATTTGTTGAACGGCAGGAAGCACTCCTCGATTTGTGACAGGCCCTCTGCGGCCGACACGCATTCGTCGAGCGGCTCGCTCGAGGCCGATGGTGCAACGAATGTGCGCTTGGTTGCGGCCGTGCCTGCAGTCGGCACGGCGTTGGACCTGAAGTGCGGCTTTTTAAGACGCGCGGCGGCCGTGCCTGGCATCATGACAACGTGCGCGCGGAGGTACACGCGAAGCCCCAACGCGAGAACCACCGTGAGCAGCATGCCAGGGAGCTGATCACGCCCGTCAACTCATCACCGGGAATTCGTTTCGCGCAAGAAAAACGCGCACACTGGGCGACGGCTAGCAACACACCTTCCTTCCCGTGAAATCCTTGTGTGGTGGCGGCGTGCCGTTCTCAGGGGTATTTCTTTCTTTCTTTACTAGGCACGGGCGGGAGGAGGAGCCCTGAGGGAGGGTGTAGAGGATGTATGTAGAGTGTAGAGCGCTGTCTGTAGAGCTGAGAGAGAGATTTTTAGCAATACCAAACAAATCTAACACTCATTTGTTTGTAGAGCTGTAGAGATGTAGAGCGCTGTAGAGCTGTAGAGCTCTACATCCACCGCGTGACGAGGCGCCTGCGTTGTAGAGCGATGTAGAGCGCGATTTTGTTGTAGAGTTTGTTGTAGAGCTAGAGGCTCTACAGCCAAACCGCCGGGAAGGCAGTGACTCAAAGAGGTCGAGTCGCACTAATGAGGTGTCCCCGAGCTTACTGGAGCTCTGATGGACGGCCCTGACTATCCCTGACACACAGAGAGTCACTCCGACGGCACACAACACCCTATAACTGCGTCATGACCAGCTGCCATGCGTCGCCGGTGCCGCATTCATCGCAGTGCTTCTTTAGCAGGCGGTGGACTGTCGGCTGCGAGGACGGTCGCATTTGCGCGAGGCGAGGCGAGCATTCAGACGCGTTGCATGCGCCATGCCTCGCGCCAGCGCGTGCGGGAGCTCCTGGCTGAGCGTTGAGTCCAGGCGAGTTGCGCTTGCCACTATTGCTACGCCGAGCCGAGCTGACGCGCCGAGGCGCCGGCCAGTCGCAGCCGTGAGGCATGCCACAGCAGCAGAGGCACCTGCCACCCATTGGGCGGGCAGATACAGAAGGCCAGGGCAGCACTGGCAAGTCCGCAACGCGCCTCATGTCGGAGAGCGACCGTGCCTCGTTCGCCGCTTATGATGTAGAGTTTGTTGTAGAGATTTCACGTTGTAGAGCGCCTCTACATCGCTCTACAACGCAGGCGCCTCGTCACGCGGCGGATGTAGAGCTCCACAGCGCTACAGCGCTCTACATCTCTACAGCTCTACAGCGCTCTACACTCTACATCCTCTACACCCTCCCTCAGGAGGAGGCTGGGAGCCCAGCGAGGTCGGCATGCAACCGCTCGCCAGAGCAGCACGCGCCCTCAAAGGGCGCGACGCCGCAGAAGCGGGCCGGCGTGGCCAAGCCTGGAGGCGCGATCGCCATGCCGACATGACCGAACGGACGACGCCTCACACGCATGCCCTCCGCCCACCTGCTCAAGGAAGCCCAGGTTCGCCGACTCACGTCAGTCGGCCAGTCAGAGTCGGTCGACGTAAGGCTTGCGCTTCTCCTCGTACTCCTCCTCGGTGATCGCGCCCGCGTCGAGTAGTTTCTTGAGCTTGGCCAGCTGCTCGGTTGGGTCGTCGTGTCCCATCTCCATTGGAGCGATCGGCATCGCGGTGGTCACGACGACCTGCTGCGGCGCCGACATCAGCGCATCCTTGGCCGAGCGCAACAGCTGGATCACCTCCTGCGGATTGTCCACGAGCATCTGCATGTGCATGTTCGGTATGCCGCTGCGGTGCTCAGACGAGTTTTGGCCGCCCGCAGTGGCGAGCGGGTGGCCCAGAGGCAGGCTGACAATCACCTGCTGCACAGGGAAGCACTGGGTGCCACACGCCGCGCCTGGCATGTCGAGGCTGAGCCCCGAGATGTCCTGATGAGGGACGTCCCCCGAGTCGCGGCCAGGCGTGCAGCAAACAAAGCCCAGTTCTCCGGCGTCCACCGACTTGTACAGACGCTTGAGCACTTGAGCACTGGATAGGGTCGATTCCGCATGGTACGGGACCCCTACAGACGCTTGTCAGTGATGATGTAGACGGTGCTCTTGAGAATCTTGTTGCCAGATTGACAGGCGGCGTAGAGGCAAGGCGACATGAGTAGGGCATGGGGCCAGAAACACGGCATCGCCAAGAAGCACGCCATCGGCTGCTTGACCGCGTTCTTGCGATTCTCATCGGATACGACATAAATCCCGAGGATGTTCTCGCCGGGCTGCACGATCTGGCGAGCTCGGTCCGTCGCCCACTGCGGGACGTCGCTCGAGCCCTTGGCGTTGGTGACCGACATGGCTCGGGTAAGGTTCGCGGACCGTGTCTTCGGCGGCTCAGTTTTCAAGCCTCCTCTGTCGATCGAAGCTAAGTAAATTCAGCCGGCTGATTGAGCGCAACATGATTTCTTTTTCTAAGAAAGAAAGAAAGAAAACAGACAACCCAAGGGAGGGATGGGAGGACGGCACGCCGCCACCACACAGGGATTTTAAGGAGAGGTGTGTGATGCGCTAGCCGTCGCCCACCCTAGGGAGTCTGCCTCTTGCTTTCTCTCTTTTTCTGTGCGGCAGTTCTGTATCCGAGTTTTTCTTCTCTTGCCAGGAGCCTTCCCGAATGTACATGCTGCCAGCCCGATCCTCTTTCAGCTGCCTTCTGCTCTGCGCCTGCAGCGGCGCGTCAGCGCTGGTACTGCCGCCGCGAGCGCCCGGCGTGGTCGCACAGCATTCGCCGCTTCGCGCTGCCGCCGCTGCTCCGAGCCGACACGCGGCGCCCGTGGCTGCAGAGGAGCGGCGGGGCGGGCTGCCCTTCTTCCTGGACATAGGAACCAAGGGCGGAATCGTCTTCTACTCGGTCATCGGCATCGTGGCGCCCTTCCTGCTCTACAACTTCCTCCAGGATCAGATGGGCATGGATGTGGTGAGCCGCCCGACGGCATCCGCTCGCCAAAGTCCACAGCTCTAGATTGGCTGAAGCTTCCCGCGCCGCGCCGCACGCCCGTGACCGCCCGCTCCCCGGCCAGGTGGGCGCGGGCAACGTGATTCTTGTCGGGCGCGCGCGCACGCGTGTGGGCGGCACCCCTCTCCGCGCCGCGCTCTCCTCACTCTGCCGGCCGCCTCCCTCCTCCCGCCTTAGGTACGTCGGGCTGGGGACGGTCGCGTGGACGTCCACTTACGTGTTCCGCGTCGCCAACAAGGTGCCCTCGTCCCGTGAACGTGCCTCGGCCCGGCCCGCTCCAACTCACCCGCGGCGGCGCTGCTCCCCTGCGCAGGACATGACGTATGCAAAGCAGCTCCGCGACTATGAGAACGCGGTGATACAGAAGCGGTTCGAGGAGCTCGACAACGACGAGGTGTCCGCGCTCATGGACGAGATCTACACCGACGGCAGCCGCAAGCCGACTCAGGCCGACGGCTCGACGCCGCCAGCGTGATTTCTGTACTGTGCCTGTGGACTCGGCGGGCGCCGCAGGAGGGGGGGATGCTGCATGTCTAGAGGGCCGCCTGCTCCGCCTGTTGGTTGTGGGCGCCTGTGTGGCGACTCTTGGTGCTTCTCTGCTCCACTCGGCACTCTGGGTCGCGACAGTGTGAGAGAGCGGAGCTCAGCGTGTCAATCCTCACAATGTTTTGTGCCGCTCTCTATCGAGATAAGATCTTTCTCTCGTCGTGTTATGAAGTTCTACGTTCTTCGCACCGTATATTGCCACATGCGCATCCTGTGGTCAACTCATGCTAGCATGCGCCGCTTCGTGGAGTCAGACCTCCGGTCCTCCGGCCCCCCGGCCGCGCGGGATCGCGCTTCGCGGGGGGGCCGGGGGGGCGTGCGCGCCGCGGTGCGCCCTGCACAGCGTGCAGGCCGGTTCGGTTTTTTTCCTTTTGCGGTGGTGACGCAAAAACCAAAACGACCCCGCCCCGCAGCGTCGCACGCCGTCGACTCGCCCCCCGCGCCGTTTCCGCGTCGGTGATCGCTGCTCGCTCTGCGCCTCGAGGTGCGCTCTGCCCTCTCTCGCGAAAGCCGAAAGGCAAAGGGATTCCGAAAGCGATTTCACGAGAGACAGTGCAAGGATGTGAGAGGCGGGGCGCGGCGGCGGGCGGGGCGGCGGCGGCGCGTGCGTGGTGCTGCTGCTATGCTGGTGATGCTTGCTATGGCATGTATCAGACGGCTGCAGCCTTGCCCTCCGGTACGCTTGAACCATAGATCGGCTGGACTGTGCCCGACGACGAGGCGCTCCACGCCGCCGCGCACTCCGTCGTGGTGGAGTTTGGGATGGAGAGGCCGGACATGGTCCACCACCCACGCGGCTGGCTGGTTGCTGAGTCCCCATACCCCGGGGGCGGACCGCTCGCGCAGCCGCAGTCCGAAGCGTTGGGCGGCGCTGCCGTCCTTGCCTGCGAGGTTCGCTTTACGTGTGCTCTCAGATCGCTGGGAGGGTCTCTGGGAGAATCGCTGGGAGCGGCGGCTCACCGGGGATTTGGTTGGCACAAACGAGTTGTTGACGCCGCAGCTGAGGGAAGAATATTTCAATGAGTCGTAGTCCATGCAGACAAACCTACAGTGGTGGGGAGGACAGGTGCTACAGGGAGACCTGGCATCGCGGTGGCGGGTGGCCGTGGCATGTCGCTGACCCGAGATCGAACGTCTCGTCGACAGAGCCCTGGACGACGCGTAGGGTCATGTTGTCGCTAGGGTAGACCGACCATGTCAGCGTCATCGGCTCGGTCGCCACAGCCTCGGTCGCCATCGCACTGGTTGCGCCGCCGGGCAAAATCGGCTCTCTGGCGGCTATTCCTAGCCCACGAACTGCTGGGGGGTGCCCACCACATGCTAGGGGGGGGTCCCGACCCCCCCAGAGGCTTCACCACATGCTAGGGGGGGGGTCCCGCCCCCCCAGTGGCTTCACCTCATGCTAGGGGGGGGGTGGGGCGTGCAGAGAAGGGCGCCCCCCTCCCTGGAAGCGATGTGCGCCTGCTCCAGAGGGGGTGGGAAGAGGAAGGAGGGCGGTGGCGGAGGGGGTGGCGAGGGAGGAGGCGGTGGGGGGGGAGGCGCCTGTGGCGAGGGAGGAGGCGGTGGCGGAGGGGACGGCGGGGAAGGAGGCGGTGGCGAAGTGGGCGGCGGTGGCGGCGTCGCGCGAAATTTCTTTTCCCTTTCAACATCTGGAGGCCCAAAAAAGCCCTCTACCTCTCCCACATATCCAATGTCCGCCGCCGAGTCGAAGACGCTGTCGCCCGCCGCCGCCGACGAGAAGATCGTTTCTCCGCCCACGAGCATCGAGAAAGCCGTGGCGCGCCCGACGCCCCCCTTCCCTGCGTGCGCGCGACCCCGATCGACGACGACGCACATGCAGTCCCACCCCCCTTCCCCGTTCGTCAGGTCGAGGCCGCAGAGCCGGCCGCGGCGGACGCAGCGCCCGCCGTCGCCGACCCCACCCCGTCCGCCGGCGAGCTCACGGAGCCCAAGCCAGAGGCACGCCCACTCTCCGCTTCCTCACGCCCGCCCGCCGAACCCACCTCCCCATAAATATTTCGACGCGTGTGCGCGCGCAGGCCGGGTCGGAGGGGAAGGCCGAGCAGAAGGAGGCCGCGCCGCCCACGACCGTCGACAAGCCCGCCGACGAGCCCGCCCCGACCGCGGGCGAGGAGAAGGCCGACGCGACGAAGGGCGCGTCGCCGGCTTCCGAGGCCGGCGACAAGCCCGCGGCGGAGCCTGACGCTGGCAAGCCGGCCGCCGAGGCGACCAAGGAGCCCGCGGAGGACAAGACCTCCCCCCCGAAGCGCCCCGCCGAGGGCGAGCCCAACGTCGACGATGGCTCGCCGCCCAAGGTCGCCAAGTCGGCCGCGGAAGCAGGGCCAACCAAGGCGCCCGCCAAGTCCCCGGCCAACAAGGCGCCCGCCGTGACCGAGAACGATGCCGCAAACGATGCGGTGGCCGCCTGAGGCAGTTGAGCGCGGGCCCCCGATGAGGCCCACCGCGAATCATGCCTCGAGGGACTGCAGCTTTTCACTCGGAGCACATTTCGGGTTGCGGACGCGGACAGCGCAACACGCTCATGGCATGCTCATGCCAAACACAAAATGGGCGTCGAAGGTGTTGTGCATTTTATCTTCTATATGCTGAGTCTTGAAACACAGCGCAGCCTGATTCGTACGAGTTAGTCGGGGCGGGGGACGGGGCACACTCCCACGCACGCGTCCGACTGATATGGCTCGACGCTGCCTCTCGTGCGAAAAGGGGGGCAGGGTGGCTCATGATCAGGTGACGCTGCGAGAGACCTGAGGGGTTTCTGCGGTTCACCAGCTTGGCCTCCCTCAGCGTCAGTAGCGGTCGTGGCTCACGCCCGTTCCGAGCTCGCGTCGGAGCTGTCGGTGTCGCTCACACGCACCATGTCTCGCATCTCGTGTGGTCACCGTCTCGATCTGCTCCAAGCCTCCAAGACACGGACGCGGGGCGGGGCAAGCGGCGCAGGGAGAGGCGGCGGGATTCAAAGAACATCGGCGCATGCGGCGGCGGTCGCAGCGGAGGGGGGGAAGCGGACTGCTGGCCAGCATTGTGCAGCGGCGGGTCGGTTCGGTCACTTCGACGACGAGAGCGGGTCCCGGTTACCGTTGTCCTGTCCCGGGCAGCCCCTCGCAGCCCCTTTCCTTTCCCTGATATGTGACGCCCGGCCGCTCGCAGCACGATGAAGATGGATGCGGCGGTGACGTCCAGGTGACGTCGAGCTCAAGCAGAACCCCCCGCAGCACACCTTCCTGTAGAGCTCTACATCCGGCGCGGGAGCGACGGACTGCCTCCGATGTAGAGCGATGTAGAGCGATGTAGAGCGATGTAGAGCGATGTAGAGCACGATTTACTTGGTGATTTCACTGTGAATTTGCGCTCTACATCGCTTTACACATCGGAGCGAGGCAGTCCGCCTGCGCCGGATGTAGAGCTCTACAGCTCTACAGCGCTCCAGCGCGCTCTACAGCTCTACAGCTCTACAGCGCTCTACTCGTCGCCCTGAATGGTTGGGCAGGTTAGTCAGGGCACGATCCCGGCGTGAACACACCTGACAGTGGCATGCACCGCGCTGCGGCGCGTGCCACTGTCTTTGTTTGAAGTTAAAAGTCGAATCAGAGCGGCGTCGGCGTTGCCCTGAGTTTTCCTCCCACGGACCGCCCGTCCGGCACAGCTCCGGGACGCACGCCGGCGAAACACCATCAAGCTGCTGTACGGCCCCGGCATCGCCTCCCCTGGCTTAGCTAGACTGAGAGATATTGTGCACCTTGGTCTGTCTCTACAATGTATACACTGACACTTCACCTCCCAGAGCTCGTCCCGGTCCGCCACGGCCATCCTCGGCCTCCGGAGGGCCCCCGGCCGCGGCGCGGTGCGGCGGCGTCACAAATCCGACGGCAGAGCACCGGGACGCGGGCGAGTGATCTGAGGTCCAACTAGACGTATGCATTGCTCATCCAGGGCTATCACCTGGACCTATCAACAGGCGCCTGCGGCGCCGTGGTCAGGAGTTGTCCAACCATTCATACAGCACAGTACACTCTACATCCTCTACACCCTTCCTCAGGACAGGTGACCGGCCGAGGCGACGGCGAGGGAGGGACCCTCTGTCTGAGGTCAAAATCAGCCAAGCGAGCAAGACTGTAAGAGGCGAGGCACCGAGTCAGAGCAAACCCTCTCGCCCAGCCAGGGATCCGGCCTTCTGTTCCGGTTTTCTTTTCCTGTGTCGAGCCTGTCTGCTGGAGAGAGAGTGCGTTGTGTAAATTCTTTCCTTTGCCCGCCACCCACCACCCAGCGTCGGCGCGCCGTCTAGCAGCGCTAAAGCGAACGAACACAATGGTCTGGCGCTTGCTCCTGCTGCTGCCGCTCTCCGCCACCGCGTACGGTGGCAAGCAGCCTGGTGAGCGGCAGCGCGAAGCGCTTCGCAAAACCACGGTCGCCGTCGACTCTTCCGGCCGGTCATCTGAGGTGGCCTCGCTGGTGGTCGCGGCCGGCTGTTTTTGGGGAGTGGAGCTCGCCTTTGCGCGACTGCCAGGCGTGATCAGCACCGAGGTAGGTTACATCGGTGGATCAACTCCCCGGCCAACGTACAGCGCGGTTTCGAAGGGCAAGAGCGGCCACGCAGAGGCTGTTCGCATAATCTTTGACGCGAGCACCATCGGCCTCACGACACTGTTTGGTGTCTTCTTCGACGTCCATGACCCGACGACGCTCAATCGACAGGGCAACGACGTCGGGACTCAGTATCGCTCTGCGATCTTTTACTCTGACGAACGGCAGCGCCTCGCCGCGCAGACCGCCATCGAGCGCGAGGCTGAGCGGCTCGGCACGCCGCTGGCGACGACTCTCGAACGCGCCGACACCTTTTGGCCGGCGGAGGACTATCACCAGGCGTATCTTGAGAAGGGAGGCCAGTCGGCCGCGAAGGGCGAGCAGACGCCGATTCGCTGTTACGGATGAGCGTCAGAAAACACCTTGTCAGTGATTTGTGGACACTGTGCCGTGATGGTGATAAAAATAAATAAAAATGATATACTAAAAGATGGGTAAAAAGAGTCCCCGCCCATGCGGTCTTGATACATATGTAAATGTGTAACCGGTTTCTCGCTGAGCCCTGGCTGTCAGGCTGTCAGGTGCTGTCACCTGTCAGGTGATCTGTCGGGCTGTCGGGCACTGATCTGTCAGGCACTGTCAGGTGCCTCTGTCAGACCAGCTGTCAGGTGCTGTCAGTGCTGTCAGGTGCTGTCGGGTGCGTGTCTGACAGGCGAGGTGATCTGTAGCTGTCGGGTGCTGTCGGAGCTGTCGGGTGTTGCTGTCAGACGCTGTCGGAGCTGTCAGAGCTGTCAGCGGCTGCTGCTGCTGTTAGACGTTGGGCTGTTGCTGTCAGGTGCTGTCAGGTGGTGCTGTCGGGGTGCTGTCAGGCTCTGACACACATCAGCCACACTTATGACACTATCAAGAGGGCGCTGACTATCAAGGGGGTGCTGACGCCGATGACGCCGGCGGCTACGCAGCTACCCCCCCTCCTACACGGGAACACGGCGTGATCACGCCGGCGGCGGCGGCCGCCTGGGGAGCGCAGATGGCGGCGCAGAGGCACAGGCGGCGGCGGCGGCACAGACGGCGGCGGCCACCCCCACCCAGACGCCGTAGGCATATGGCTGTAGGGCCCCAGAAGGCTAGCTGGTAGCTTCATTTGTAGTAGCACAGCCGCCGGTGCTGGAGAGGGGTCCGCAGAGGTGGGGCGGGAGGGTTGAAAGAGAGACCCATGACCATCCCATGACTACATGGACCACACTCACATGTCTTTGCATGTAATTTTGTTATACCCTCATGGGGCACAAGAAAGAGGCTCTACGGGGTCTGTGTACGGTCTGTGCTGCTGTCAGGCTGTCAGCGCTGCTGTCAGGCCACTGTGTGCTGTCGGGCTGTCAGGCAGCTGTCAGGCTGTCACGTTAGGGCCTGACAGCGACGGGTCACCTCGCCTGTCAGGCTCTGCTGTCAGGCTGTCAGATACGTGCTGTCAGACTGTCAGAGAAAGTGCTGTCAGCGCTGTCAGGCTGTCGGGCACTGTCAGGCGCTGTCCGGGGTTTGCTGTCAGTCTGTCAGACCAGGGCTCAGGTTTCTCGTGAGAGCGCTTCTGAGTAGTGAGTTCTGTGCATCGACCATATAAGTAATAAGAATTAAGATATATCGTCACGTGTGCTTCGTGGCGGCTTCGCCCCTCTTAAGCCCTACACAGTATACTCTTGTGTGGCATGTTTTGCGAGTATCTTACCTTATATTTCCCCGCGGCCGGTTTTCCGTTTCGGGCGACGGCACACTCACCGAGCTCTCCGGCGGGGAATCATGTCGGCGAAGGCGGGCTCTGGCGTCTCGGTGATGCGCTCCGATCCCGACGCGTCGACCTCGACGGAGGTGGACGCGCACGAGGCGCAGTGGCGGGCCGGCGTCAACCGCCAAGCACGTCCAGACGCCGCTTCGCAAAGACGGGCGGCGTCATTGGCTGCTGCAGCCAAGCGGCGGCGGATAAGGACATGAACAACATACCTGCGCAAGCCGTCGCCCGGGCGGCCGCAGGCGGTGCCATCTCAACCCACTCTCGGCACCGCTGCACGTGCGTGCTCCCTCTCCCACCCAACTCGGCTCCACTCTCGTCCACCCGCGCCCACCCCATCATCTGCTCTCAGGCTGATTGCGGCGTGTGTTGCGCAATGCCGAGCCACCAGACGCTGGCCAGAGCATGATTGTGATGCCTCTGTCTGGGCCGGGGGGGCGTTCGACAGCGCGCGAGGCTGCCTCCCTGCCCTTTGCGACGCTTGCGACCACTGCTGAGTTGCATGCAGTACAGAGTAGCAGTGGTGGGGAGGGCTTGCGCCCCCCCCCCCCCCCCCGGGCAGAATGGTAAACTCGTGTCTACTCACCTCGTCGGCTCCATCGGCTGCCTCTCCTCGTGCGCCGGCTGCCTCTCCATCCAACCGCTTCAAATTTAATAGCCGCTTCTGCGTCCCCTTCTCTGCCCGGTGCTCGCGTGTCGCGATGTCGCTCTGCCGAGAGGGTCATCGCCGGCGTAGGCGGAGCGGCGGGCCCTTCGTTACAGAGACAACAAAGACATTTCACCCCTCGGGCTGTTGTTGCAGACAGAAAAACAAATTTGGCGCGCGTGCGCGCAAGGTATGCTAGTATGGGACAAAAGCGTCGAAAATGTCCCAAAAAGCGTGTCTCGAGTTTGTGGCAGCCCCACAGCCGGCGCGCGCCGCCAGGAAGCACCGCTCGCGTGTCGGCCGCACTCCCTGGCACCCAGGGAGTGCGGCCGACCGACCAGACCGAGTAGGCTCGATGCCGCGCTCGCTGTGGGGCTGCCACAAAGTCGCCGCCGAGCGTGCCACCGACGGCGTCCTGGCGGAGGTGATGGAGTGTGAGACCTGAGGCTGCGGAGGTGACGCCTGAGGTACCGGTCCGTGCACAGCGACTCAGCCGGCGACCGCCACGGGCTCAGACGAGACCTGTCGACGCGTTCCGGCTCAGCTTCACCGTGGTCATCGGGCGTCTGTCGACGTCAGGACCACCCATACAGCTCGCGGGTGTGAGGTCGCAAGAGCCAAGATGGTGGCGTTTGGACATCCCAACCATCACACAAGACAGCCTGTAGGTGATGGCGGGACGGCGCAGTGTTTGTGGCACTCGGCAGTAGGCACCCGCGGCACGGCCCCGCTGTTGGCTCTCGCGGGCTGCGGAACCGGCCCCAGAAGGGGACGGTCCGGGCGAGTGTGGCAGCTCCTGCGCTAGTATGGGCACCCTCTATCATAGCACTACTGATCCTGGTCATTAGAGCTGCCAGGGATAGCGTCAGGAGCCGGTAGGAGTCAAAACCCCTCATATTTGAGACATCGTGTCCCATATACTCGCAAAACGAGCCGTGTGCACACAGTGCAGCTGCGGTGCGAAAAGTGGTTCTGGTTGTGGAGAGGGAGCGTGGGAGCTGGGAGACCAAAAAAGATTTTATCCGCATTCACCGTGTGCGCCCGTAACAAAACACAGCATGCCTACACACGCAGCTCCTCACGCAGCTATACAACGTCGTGTCTTCCCTCATCTCTGTGGCTCCTCTGCCAGCCGAGGTGCGAGGAGAGGAACCAGAGAGACCCACACGCAGCACACACACAGTGGGGAGCGAGCGACACGAAAGAGGCGGCGCCCGCGAGAAGCGCGGGCCCCGCGCCGCGCAGGACAGACAAACGTACTGGACATGGGCGGCACTGTACCGGTCCCTCCTTCCCCTCCCCCCCCCCCTCGAGTCACTGATTGCTGCTCGCAATGAGCTGCGCCTGCTCGCGCGACACGTACCCGCTCGCGGCGTCGCCCCGCTGGACGACGGGCCCGGCGGCGGCGGCCACGTCGCTCGCCTCGAAGGCGCCTGCAGAGCAAGCGGGCCGGTGAGACGGACCCACGCACTGCCTCCCCTCCGCTGCTGGCCCCTAGCGCGCCCGTGATGACCATCTCTGCAGGGAGGCGGAAGCGCAGGTAGACGCGCCTAAGGAGACGGGGGCGGCGAGGTTGACGCTCCCCTCCCCTGGGCTCGAAGAGAAGTGCGGGCGGGCGCGCTTCGCGTAGCGCGTCAGCAGCAAGAGCGAGCCGCATATGCAGAGCGTGACCTGGCCGGGGCGGGGCGGCGGTCGGAAGGAGGCGCGGGGCGGGGCGGGAGAGGGGCGGGAGGGCAGGCGCAGCAGGCGGGGGGCCGGGGAGCAGGTGGCCGCCGCGCGCCATCGTCGAGACCGACCAGTGCACGTAGATGAGCCACGAGAAGAGGGCGGCCGAAAAGTGGAAAAAGACGAGGCCGAGCACAAAGCAGTAGTAGGCGGTGCGGTACTCGGTCATCATCCCGTCGACGGCGGGGTGCATCGAGCCGTCCGGACCGCGCAGCGCCAGCCCCGGCCCCATCATCGAGAGCAGCGTCGTGTTCAGCACCGCGATCAGCTCAAAGCACATCGCCGTCGTCGTCACGAGGAGGTACGCGATTCGCAGCGCGTACGCGCGGTCGTGCGGGATGGCCACCTGGGTGAGGCCCGAGTACGCGAACCCCGCGAGCAGCGCCGCCTGCGTCCCCACGGCCTGGCAGTTCTGCGTGTAGTAGTTGAGCTCCTTTTCACGAATCGCGAGCAGGTTGACCTGCGGCGCGGCGGAGGCGGGGTCGCGGCGGGGTGGCGCGGGCACCGGCGCGCGTGGCGCTTCGGCGCGCGCCTTCAGGTTGGTCTCGAGCGCTCTCTTGTCGGCATAGAGCATCGGGTCTGCTGGCGCTGGCGCGCGCCGCGAGAGACACAGCGCCGGCGTAAGAGGAACAAGAATTCGGACGCGCCCAGAGCAAAAGGTGAGAGCGTTGTTTCATAAGGTTATCGAGCCCTTCTTGCCGCTCGGCTCTTCCTGTTTGTCGGCACAGAGCTCCGTGCCAGCCCTCCAGCGAGATAGGAACGAGTGTATCGCTTTGACGGATCGACCGTGCTTGTTATCAAAACCGATCTCACGTACACAGTTACACTCCAGACGTTCTGTACTCTCCTATCCGGCAACCGGCGAGACGCTGCCGTGAGCCAGCCGCTCTTGCGGCAGCCGCCAGCGGAGGCCGAGCGCGTCGCGTATCGATCGAGCTCGCGATCCGGGCCGCCGTGGAGCCCACGGAGGAAGACTTCATCTGCTAGGACGGAGTCCCGACGCTCGCTGCGTCCGCTGGAACTGGGGTCTACACACCTTTCGTTTCCGCGTCCCGCAGTGGCATACTTTCAAGCGGCGTGTGGGGGTATATTGCAGATTTGAGAGATTTTTAGCAATACCAAACAAATCTAACACTCAGTCACTCACACGTCATTTGGGGCCTGGAGCCCTGTTCACGCGCGCGCGAGACGTGCAGACAGGGTTGCCAGGTGAGAGCGAATGGCGCGGTTCACGCCTCGCACAACAGAGAGAGAGATGCGCTCTGCATGGTGGGACATAAAAGAGAGCGAGTACTTGGGCGAGTAGGCCGTGCGGTCGACGCTGCCGCGCGCGACTTTGCGCGCGAGGCGGCGCAGCTTGAGAACGGCGGTGGGCGAGAAGCCGCCGCCGAACGTCTCGTGGAGCAGCAGGTTGAAGTTGTTGCGCTTGACAAAGATCGCGTTGTTTGTGTTGTTGCAGATTTGTCAATGGTACCGCGTCTGCGACGCGGGCGCCTTGCGGGCAGAGCCCTTAGCCACCCTTCATATCTTGCGCGGTCAAAACATAATTTCAAGCGGCGGGCTTTGCTACAAGAGACCACATAAAAAGAAACCCCGGCGCTGTCGCGTCGTTTGCCCCGCGCAGCACCCGCGTGCGCAGCCCGTGCGCTACAACGACCCCATGCGCTACAGCGACCCCAACCGGTGGGTCTTCTTCGGCCGCGCGTGGGCGGCAACGATCGCGACGGCGTGCCTCAGCTTCGGCGCCTTCTCCTTCCTGGTTCCTCCGCCAGACCCGCCAGTCCTGGAAGCGAGCCGCTTGAGAGCCACGTCCAAGCGCAGCGGCGGCAGCGCACCCTGACGCCGCCATGGCCGGCTGGACGTGGCCACCCCGTCCTCACCACGTGTTGGCGGGCGACAGCCAGGCGAAGAAGCTCCGCCGTCATAGCTGCGTGCGCGCCTTCGCCATCAGCTCTTGTACCACCTGAACCCGCGGGGCGCGTGCGGATGCAGCCGTGGCCTCCGATGACCGCCCCGCCGCCGCTTCTGGCACTGCCGCAGCTTTGCGTGTTGCCGGTGGCAAGGGCAGCGGCGCGGCGGGTAAACGGTGCCAGTACCACCTGCCGCGCGCGCCAAAACACACCGCCGAGCCGCCAATAGCTAGAGAGCACGCTGGAGGTAATCGAAGCCGCGCGCGGTGGTCACGACCGTGCCGCAAGCGGTCAATATCTCTCCGACACCGACCCACATCGCGGGCTTTTGGGTGGCAGGCGGCAGAACCCCATCTGCCGTCCTGCCAATCGCCACGCAGACATCCTCCCCCGCCCCTGCCCGGCGCCCCGTCGCAACAGCCCTGCCCGCATTCGCCCTCTCCGTGCGTTCATGCCATCCCCTCCCTCCACAACCCACAGGCGGGGACGCGAGGAGGCGGCTGACGAGACTATGGGAGGTGGTGTTTGGGCGAGGAGGCGGCTGACGAGACTATGGGAGGTGGTGTTTGGGGGAGAGGAGCCCCGTCGTTTGAGTGTGCGAGGATATTCCGGTGATCTCCACTCGAGGTTGACGTAAGGCCGTATGACGGCCGCACGCAGCTCGTCCGTGCGTGAGACACTGTGTATGTGCGCAGAATATTGACTGCCGGAGCGGCGTGTCGTGTGTGGGGACGTACCGTTCCAGAAGTCGAGACGAGGCTCTGCCCGCGCTGTGCCTCTGCCCTCTCGGCATCTGCCGCGGTCTCTGGGGGGGCCCAGGCCTGCCCCGGTGCCCCGCGCCGCGCGGGCCCGCACCGCCCGGGCGCGCGGCCCCCCGCGCCCCGGGGCCCGGAGTCGGGAGAGTTATTTGCGCATTGCGCGGTGTGTGGCGTCGTTTTTTCGAGTGTGTTAAACCGTAAACGCCGTGACTGACATATGTTTCGCACAAATGTGCACATCCGCCGAATGGCTGATTGACCCCCTACACCTACCAACCCCGGCCCAGCCCCAAGCTCGAGAGGCCAGAGGCGCGAGAGCGCGAGCTGAGACGTGCACACAGACTCAGACACACCCCAGCGCCCAGGCGAGACGCCAGAGAGCGATGTGCGCATGCGCGTTGCCCAGCGCGGCCAACTGACTAGAGCCGACTCCTCTCCCAATCTCCCAGCGGCCCTACTCGTACAAGCCGTGCTCCTTTGCGTACGCGCGTATGCAATCGGGGAGCACCTCTGCAGCGGCGGCCGGATCGTCGCCGGCGAGGGCTCCGCGCGCGGCGCTCGACGAGACGGCGGCGAGGGCCTCGTCGTTTGGCATGAAGTGGAGCCGCCCGTGCGTCACCTCGGCGGGCAGCCCGCTCCTCACCGCAGCCGCCTGCGAGCGGGCGCCGCGCGGCTCTCGAGGAGGAGAGGCACCTCTCTGCTGTGCCTCTCTCCGATGTGAGCTCTCCCCCTGCTGTGCGCCCCTTCCCCACACGCCCGCGCCGAGCTCCCTCGCGACTCCCTCACGGCTCTCTCACGGGGCCAGCTTCCCTCGCGGCTCGCCTGCCCTTCGGCGCTGAGGCCGGGGGCCATCGTCGACGCGCTCGCCGAGTCGCGCGAGGTGACAACCACCTGCCACGGTCCGAGGACGTGTCACGGACACGTCCAGGCGAGGCGAGGCGCGAGAGAGGGAGACCGCCTCGACCGTGCCGAAGAGGGAGCGCAGCGCGTCGTCCCTCCGCCCCTCCGGGTAGTACTTAGGGTCGACCACACGCTCCCACGTGTCGTACCCGACCAGCAGAAAGATGGTGGCGTCCGGTCCGCACAGCGCGCGGAGGGCGCGCGCCTTGTCGACAAAGAGCGGGTGCGCCGTCACGCCGCAGACCGTGCTGCCCTCCACCTCCTCGCGCGCGAGCAGCTCCATCATCTGCAGCCGGTGAGGCAGGCTCGCGCCAACAACCGGCTTGTCCGCATTCTGCTTTGCGAGGAGCAGCATCCGCCGGCGGACGCCGAAGCGAGCGGCGGCGGAGCGGAGCAGGTGGACGTGCGCGCACGTCGGCGGGTTGAAGGACGAGTCGAGCACGGCGACCGACTCGTCCAGCGGCAAGGGCCACTCACCGCCACCGACAGCCGGCGGCACGAGCTGCACCCTCGGCTCGACGGCGATGTCGACCGACGAGAGCGCCCTCTCGAAGCGCTCCAGCTGCGGCAGCGCGCTGGCGGAAGAACCGGTGCCGGCCATGGCTAAGACGGAGAGCCTGCGAGCGAGCAGCCTTTGCATGTGCGGGTCTGGCTCTGCAGGCACCGTCGTCACCGTGCCGCCACCTAAAGCGTCAGGCTGAAAAAAGAATATTTCTGGCGGCGAGAGGGGAAACCCAAAGCGCAGAGCCCACCCTCGGAGACCGTGTTTACTTTACGGCCCTTTCCCTGCGAACGCGCACCCCCCCAGGAATAGGTCTAGCCCGTAACCCGATGCCAATCATCCGGCCCGCTGGGTGTGCTTCCAGCCCCCCGGGCCCCCGGCCCTGGATCTGCGGTTGATGACTGCACTCCAAGTCCTCCAAGTTTTCTTTCTTTCTGCTATCTGTCTTAAAATCCCTGTGTGGTGGCGGCGCGCCGTCCTCCCATCCCTCCCTTGGTGTGTGTATGTTTTCTTTCTTTCCCAAAATTCTTTCTTTCTTTCTTTCATCTTTGGAAGATGGAACTATCGGTCCCCCCCCATAATTTGTCCGTGCGACCTGCATTATTTTACCCGTCTCGCAGCCGAGGCTAGGAGCTAGCGCTGGCAGCCTCGTACCTCTAGTTTGTCAGCACACGCAGCCCCACGCACGTCGCGCGTACAAACAGACATACCTCTCGAGGGACCTGTACTCTCTCGTTTTTCAGCGTGTGGTGTGAGGCGCGCCGCGCTCACCATGGCGCTCACGTGTCCTGCTGAGCAGCGCATGCGCTCGCCCTCTTCGTGTCGACGATGCTCGTGGTGGCGGCCAAGCGGCCCTTGAAAAAGTCCGGCTGGCCGCCGCCGACAAAGATCTCGAGCCGCCCCTTCTCCAGCGTCACGCCAGCCGAGGCGGCGAAGACGGCCTCGCCCGTGGCCTCGCCGCCGTGCACCACGGCGCGCGCCTCGGGCGGCACGCTCAGCTTCACCGCGATCGAGGCGCCTGGCGCCAGGCGCTTGATCCGCTCAAACGCGCCCAGCCGCACGCGCGGCGCCGGGACGGTGGCGTCGGGCTGCTTGAGGTACACCTGCACGACCTGCTCACGGGCCGACGCGTGAAGCGCGTGTCGTTGACGGCCTGCGGGACGCACACCAGCACGCACCTCGTCCGAGGCCACGGAGCCCGTGTTGGTCACCGTCACCGTCACGCCCACCGCATCGCAAGCGGAATGCGAGGCGGCGTCGAGCGACAGGCTGGAGTATGCAAAGGTGGTGTAGCTGAGCCCGTGCCCAAACGGGTAGAGCGGCGCGCCCTCGAAGAAGCGGTACGTGGCGCCGCGCGAGCCGCTGCTGGCGTTGGGGTACATGCCCGTGTCGGCGAGCGGCGGCAAATCAGCTGTCGCCCGGTAGAAGGTGACGGGCGTGCGGCCCGCCTACGGAAGGCGCATATAGGAGGCTCGGGGAAGTGCCTCCCGGTGGAAGGTGACGAGGCGTGCGGGGCCGCCGGCGAAACGTCGCCGAATAGAGTTGCAGCCACGGCCGCGCCACCCTCAATCCCCGGATACCACGCGTCCAGCACCTACGGTCAGGTTCCGAGAAGCTTCAGGGCAGCTTCCAAAATGATCTCTGCGCGCCGCGCGTCGAGCACAGCGTCGCAAGCGGCGCGGGTGGCGTTGTCAATCGCGATGGCGCCGCCGTGCACGAGCAGGCAGACGAGCGGGCCAGCCTGCTAGTCACAGGAACCTTCTAGGAACCTTCTCTAGCAGACGAGCGGACCAGCCTACTCCTCGGGATTCCGGGTGAGCTCGGGCGATCTCGGTGCACGAGCAAGCAGGCCAGTGGCGCTCGCACCGTTGCGGCACGCAAGGCGGCGACCATCCTCTGCTGGCCGAGAGGCAGCTCGATGATGCGCCGGTCGTTGCCTGCGGGGAACTAGCGAGGACACGTGGACGTGGGCAGGAGGGCGTGCCCCAGCGGTCCGCCAGTGCACGCCCTCGCGCTCGCAGTGGTCCCCGAGCCCGTCGTCGTCGCCGTGGCAGTACTGGTCGAAGGCGAGCCCGAGCACGACCACCGTGGCGTCCGCGGAAGCGGCGGCGGCGGCAGCGGCCCTGAAGCCGTCCCTCGACTCTGGCGCGCCGATGGCGTCGAGACCGCGCGCTGCGGTGACTGTGCCGCCGCCGAGCCGCTCTCGCAGCGCCGCCTCGAGGGAGAGGCCCCAGTTGCCTGCGGGGAGGGCACGCGGAGCGGTCGTCGCGGCCGAGTCTCCTTCCCGCAACGGGAGAGGGCGACTGGCAGCTGCCCTTGTTTGCGGACCCGGCGTAGTTGCCGAACAGCACGCCGGAGACGTTTGCCTGCGGACCGACCACGGCGAGCCGGCCAACCTTGGCGTCGAGCGGAAGGGCGCCGCCTACCGAAACGCGCGGAGAGGGCGGTCAGCGACAAGGCGCCGCCCTGGGCGGTCGAGCGCGGGAGGGCGCTGCCCTTGTTCTCCAGCAGGGTCATGAGCTCGAGGGCCGCCTCGCGCGCCACGGCGAGGTGGCGCCTGAACACACACGAGCGCGCGTGAAGAGACGTCGGTCACGCCTCGCGCCCCCACGAGGCGGCGCCTGTTGGAGGCGAGCTCGGTCGCGTTGTAGCGCAGAGCGTTGTAGCTCACGTGGGTGGGCGGGTCGAGCATGCCCAGCCTAGACCTCAGGCCAACCTCGGGTGCGCTCGGGTGCGCTCGCGGCGGGCGGGAAAGTCGAGCTGCGCCCCGCCGTATGCGCAGCCGGAAGAGGTTGCGGAACGCGCGCGCCACGGCGGCGGGTGTGGTCAGGCCGTCCCGAATGGCGGCGGGCAGCGTCGAAATGGCCAGCGCGGAACCGCCCTCCTGGTCGATGCCGGCGTTGAGGCCCTGCGCGGCGCCCGCCCGCAGCGTGGCGTTGTAGTGGTGCGCCAACGCGATGTTGGCCCAGGCATCGTAGTCGCTGACGACGAAGCCGTCCCACCTCCACGTCTCTCGCAGCACCGCCGTCAGCAAGCCGCGGCTGCCGCAGGTGGGCACGCCTAGCACGCACGGCTCCGAGGCGGGTCGGAAGAGGTTCCGCCCGCGCGAGGCCAGCTGCCGCGCGGCCGCCGTTGAGCGAGTTGTAGGAGCACATCGCGTGCGACGAGCGGGCCCGCACGACGCAGGCCTGCGGGGCGGGGCCGGCGTCTCGCACAGGTCACACGGCTATAGCTTGGCCATCTCCGCATCTCGTCTGCATCTCGTCTGCATCTCGTCTGCATCTCGTCTGCATCTCGTCCGCATCTCGTCTGCATCTCCTCCGCATCTCGGCCAGAGGTCGGCGGTGCCACACCTGGAAGGCGGGCAGGTACGTCTCCCACAAGTCGCGCGCGTTCACGTCGACGTTGAGGCTCATGCGGCTCGGCCCCCCGGCGTGACCCTCGGTGTTGTACACCGCGACGTGCTTGCAGCAGGTGCCGGCCTGCAGGTAGCCGTCCGCGTCCGTGCGTCCAGCGGTGTTGTTCTGCGCGCCCCGCACAAACTCGACGACGAGCTCGCCCATGTGGGTCGGGTCCTCGCCGTACACCTGGCGGAGGGATGCGGCAGGTCGTGGCTGTCACACGTCGTGGACGTGTCACGGGAATGCCGCGGGCCGTGCGCTACTCCTCTCCGGCTGCTCCTCTCCGGCTCACCTCCTGCGCACGGCCCCAGCGCGGGTCGCGCACCAGGTTCAGGTTGGGCGCGTACAGGGTCAGGCCGCAGCCGTTGCACGTCATCTGGCGCCTGCGCGGGTCTGACGCGAGGAAGCCGTTGTGCAGCCCGCGCGCCTCGCGACCCACGACGGCGCCGACGGCCCGCAGAGTGGCGTGCGAGAAAGTCGCGCCGAGGCCGACGCCATTCGGGAAGACGGTCGCGCGCGCAGGTGTGCGAGCGACGCCGTGCTGGTCGTCGTTCAGCCACTGGTACTCGGGGACGCCGAGCTCGAGCAGCTCCGGCGCCGTGTTATGCAGCTGGCCGATTTGCGCGCTGAGGCTGGTGTGCGCCACGAGGAAGTCGAGCCGCGCCTCCGTGCCGAGCGTCCAGTCGAGGTGAGTGCCCTTGATGCCCGGGCACTTTGCGTAGTCCGCCGCCGAGTCGACGCATGTCCGCGAGTCGCTGGGGCAGAGATACTGCCCGCGCTTGCAGCCGCTCTTGGCGCCACACCAGTGCGAGCTCATCGTGCACACGCCGCTGTCCGGGCACCGCGTGAACTCGCCGAGACACGGATCGAGGCGCGAGTGCAGAGCCGCCGCGCTGGTGAGAATGAGGAAGATCAGGGTGGCGCTCGGCGACCGCGGCATGAGTGGAGACGGCCGCGGCTCCAACACGTTTGCGGCGTGTCGCCAATAGAGGTGGTGCAATCGAGGCGGTGCGAGAGGGGACGGCCGACAGAGATTTTTTGTTTCCGGTGATAGTACTAGCACGCGCCAGTTCGCACCTGTGTCGAGCCTGTCTGCTGTGAGAGAGAGTTCTTTTGTTTAAATTCTTTTTCAGTGTATCCTACCTACCTACCTACCTACCTACCTAGTGTATGTAGCTCTTACGTACACTCCCTTTGCTGCCACTCATAAAATCGTTGGGTCGCTAGGTAGGTAGGTAGGTAGGTAGGAGGGCCCCCGCCCGCACACACGAGCCCACATACATACAGAGAGGGACGAGTGCACGCATTGGGCATCAGAGAGCCATAAGTGTCTGTTGTTGTTTGGCTTGAGCCAAGCAGGCACACCCGCGCGCGAGCGATTAGGCCAGGCCCGAAGCCTGACTCAAGCCAAGGTGGAGCACAGGGACAGGCAGGGACACCGTACTCACGTACTGACATCCCGCCCCGCGCCAGGGGCGGTGGCGCGCGCCGCGCCGGGACACTTTGGACCCGCAGCCTGGCATACGCCAGGCCACAGATCCGCCGGCAGAGCCTTAAAGCTGCATCCGCGATCCGCGCCGGCTCTCAGGAGAGATCCGGTGTGGTGCTAACCGCGTCCTCGCAGGCCGCCGAGTTCACGATGGTGTCCGGAGGGAAACGGTGCAGCTGCGGCATCTGAGGGAGGGTGTAGAGGATGTAGAGCTGTAGAGCTGTAGAGATGTAGAGCGCTGGAGAGCGCTGTAGAGCGCTGTAGAGCTGTAGAGCTCTACATCCGCCGCGGGACGAAGCGCCTCCGTTGTAGAGCGATGTAGAGGCGCTCTACAACGTGAAATCTCTACAACAAACTCTACATCATAAGCGGCGAACGAGGCACGGTCGCTCTCCGACATGAGGCGCGTTGCACTTGCCAGTGCTGCCCTGGCCTTCTGTCTGCCCGCCCAATGGGTGGCAGGTGCCTCTGCTGCTGTGGCATGCCTCACGGCTGCGACTGGCCGGCGCCTCGACGCGTCAGCTCGGCTCGGCGTAGTGATAGTGGCCAGCGCAACTTGCCTGGACTCAACGCTCAGCCAGGAGCTCCCGCACGCGCTGGCGCGAGGCATGGCGCATGCAACGCTCAACAATGCTCGCCTCGCCTCGCGCAAATGCGACCGTCCTCGCAGCCGACAGTCCACCGCCTGCTAAAGAAGCACAGCGACGAATGCGGCACCGGCGACGCATGGCAGGCTGGTCATGACGCAGTTATAGGGTGTTGTGAGCCGTCGGAGTGACTCTCTGTGTGTCAGGGATAGTCAGGGCTGTCCATCAGAGCTCCAGTAAGCTCGGAGACCCCCCATTAGCGCGGCTTGACCTCTTTGAGTCACTGCCTTCCCGGCGGTTTGGCTGTAGAGCCTCTACAACAAACTCTACAGCAAAATCGCGCTCTACATCGCTCTACAACGGAGGCGCTTCGTCCCGCGGCGGATGTAGAGCTCTACAGCTCTAAAGCGCTCCAGAGCGCTCTACATCTCTACAGCTCTACAGCGCTCTACACTCTACATCCTCTACACCCTCCCTCAGTGCGGCATGTCGCAGTGCGGCATGCCGCAGTGCGTCACGCGGCGCTCCTGCAGCAGCGCGCGCGGTGGTGGTGAGGAGGGAGCAAGCCCTTGAGCTGCTGGCGTAGTCCATCGCCCGCGCACGCGCGCCGGCTTTGAGGTGGTTCCACCAACAACTGGCCCAAGGGGTTGAGACCCTGCGGCGTTCACGTACGGACCCGCCTCGGTATGGCTAACCTGTTGGCGAGCGGTGCCTATTGGCGCTGCGACGGCGACTGCCAGGAACGTGCAGAACACGCTCGCAAGCAGACCGTATGGCAAGTGAGGGTGAAGTGCTGACAGGGTTTGCGATGATTTTATGATGAGAAGAGAACAAAGGTAGTCGAAACACATTGAAGCCCTATCCGCCAAGGAGCCCGAACCTGCTTGCGGAACGCTCGCGCGTAAAGCCATCCCGGCAATGGCGCAGATGGACGACGATGAGCTGCAGCGCATCTACACGTGGGTGGACGAGGTGCCGCTCTCGCGCCCCAAGCGCAACATTGCTCGCGATTTTGCCGACGGCGTGCTCACGGCGGAGATAGTGCACCACTACTTTCCGCGGATCGTCGAGGTCCACAACTACCCGAGTGCCAACTCGTACGCGCAGAAAATGTACAACTGGCAGACGCTGAACGCGCGGGTCTTCAAAAAGATGGGGTGGCAGCTGCGCCAGGAGGAGCTCGACGCCATCTGCAGCTGCCAGCCGCAGGCGGTGGAGCGGATGCTCAAGCAGCTGCAGGTGCGCCTCTCGAAGTACGGGTCGCGCAGCAAGGAGGAGGAGGCGGCGCCGCAGCGACCGCACGCGCAGGCGACGCCCCGGTCCGCTGCGGCGCCGCCGCGGAGGGTCGGCGGCCTCGCGGGAGGCGCGCAGGTCGGGCTGCGCGACGGCGCGGTGCAAGAGCTGCTCGCGGAGAAGGACCAAAACATCAGTGAGCTGCGCGAGACGGTCGAGATCCTCGAGATCAAGATCCAGAAGCTGGAGCAGCTGGTGAGGCTCAAGGACTCGAAGATCGCGACGCTGCAGGGGAAGCTACAGAAGTACGAGCCGTGATGCTAATGGTCAGCCTCCAAGTGCTCTCCAAGGTAAGGGACAAGGCCGACGCGCGCGCCGGGCGCGGCGGCGTCAGGCTCAAGCCTTAGTATGGAATTATCGTTGTGTTTGGCTGTGATTCTCAAAGGACGGAACACAAGTTTTGGATTCGGTACATCGTCGCACGCGAGAGAGCGGGTGCGTGTGAGACACAAGCGCGAAGCGGAGGGCAGTGGGTGGCCGGGGTGACCCTGGCACCATGCCTGGCACTCACGCAGCCCACGGCTCTGCGGTTCTCAAGACTGCCGCGCGTTGCAGCGCAGTGGACGAAGGTCTCGTGCACACCCGCATCCCCCGACTGACCCCCGACTGAGGGCATGCACACGCTCCAAACATCGATGGCGGCGAGCGTGGGCCGCGGTCCCTCCACACCAAGGACGACTCACGGCGAGTGAAGCGCCTCTCGGCAGAGCAGCCCCGCGGCTACTTGGCCTGCGCCTCGAGCCTGGAGAGGAGGGCCTCGACCTGGTCCGACTTGATCTTGTTGACGGCCTCCTCGGGCAGCATCTCCGGCGCGCGCTGCCCGCCCGCGGCCGCCGTGGCGTTCTGGTACATCGCCTTTTGGCGCCGCGTGGCGCTCTCCTCGCCGCCAGGCACCGCCGACACGGGCCGCGACGTCGACGAGGCCGCCTCGTCGCTCGCGGCGGCGGCCTGGCTCGCGGGCGGCTTGGGCGGGGTCTCGTACCACCACTCGTCGCCCGCGCGCTCGTCGACCCAGACCGACTCCCCGCCCTCGAAGAGCACGAGCATCCCCTTGGCGGCGGCTACCTTGGTGACGACGCCCGCGTACGGCACCTGCACCATCGCGCCGCCGCCGGCCGCCTCGTCCTCCTCCTCGTACACGACGACCACGCGCGAGTTGACCTTTGCCTGCGCCGCCTTGAGCTGCGGCCTGCGTGGCCTCGCAAGCTCCGCCCCCCCCCGCTTCGCACTGCGCCCCTCGCCCGAGCGCGCGCCGCGCTGGCCCGCGGGCTGCTGCGACCAGTGCGGAAGGCGGGACGGCTCCGCCTCGGAGGCGGAGGAGGGCGACTCGCTCCGCTCGCCCGGCCGGCGTGCGCGCCCGTTCGCGCCGTTCGCGCCGTGCGCGCCGTTCGCGCCGCCGTTTGCACCGTTCCGCGGCGCATGCCTGCGGCGTGCCTCGAGGACCAAGCAGCGCGCGAGCGAGGAGAGCTCTTGCTTGGTGAGCGAGCGGGCGGCCCACTCGACGTGCGCGACGCCGTCCTCCGCCTCCTCCTCCGCCTCCTCCCCGTCCGCCTGCGAACACAAGAGGGGCGCGGCCTGTGAGCCCACTCTTTCAGGCGCCGCCTCGCCCGACCCGCCTCGATAGGA